TCCTTGACCCTCTGCAGTAAGTGCATGAGGTCCTCCTCAGTTTCAGCGAGCAGGGTTGTGTCATCTGCATAACGCAGATTGTTGATAGATCGTCCACCGATCCTAACACCACGCTTCTCCTCATAGAGCCCAGCCTCTTGGATAATCTGCTCTGCATACAGGTTGAAAAGGTATGGAGACAGGACACATCCCTGGCGTATGTATTGTAATTAAAAATAAAAGAACGGAGCTTGTAATGTTCAAACTTTACATTAGGTAGGTATTAAGAGTCCTATAAACAAAAAAAGATTTTCAGTATGGGTCTTAAATAATTTACATATATAATCATGGAGGAAAAGAGAAGGGTATCATTCTCAGTTAATGCAAAGGAAACATTTCATTATATTTAGACTTGCACAGTGGTTTTAAATTATCTGATAGAGTCTGTACAAATTAATTTCTTTCAGAGAATTTCCTTTCAGTGAATTACAGATTCACTCTAATTTTGATACCTCTTTGTTGACAACAAGACCACTGCAACTTGTTTTAAGTTTTGTGTAAACCATTGTGCAGCAATTACAAATTATCGAGACAAATCACACAGCTAAAATGACAACTCATTATGCTCGAAGAATATGAACTTAGAAAAGGGAAAGTCAGAACAATTTTAAGCAGCTCTTCTTGCTTTTGTACCAAACTGAGCTCCATTTCAGGGCATTAAATACGGAAACAGGAGATCCTAATAATATAAATGTCTACTAGAATGAGGGGAAACCCCATCCAAAACAAAACACAAATCAAAAACAAACAACGAAGTTTGAAGTGACTCACTCTTTCAGAAAAATGCCCAATGTCAATATTATGTTTGGTAGTGGTTTCTACCATCATAACCTGAAAGTGCTTAAGACCCTCACAGCAAAAGAAGATTGCAAATAGTTACTTCAGAATAAAGCCTCTGATTAATTGCCAATTAGGTCCAACTGGTGGTGTTTTAATATTTCCGTGTCTTGAGGGATCCTTTCTGAAAGTGTTCTCAGGCTTCCTCAGGTAACTTTCAAAATACTGAAGGTGGGATGCAGTGGACTGGTAAGAAGTCGGCTGGGACAGTGCACAATCAAGTAACTGGTGGGGAATCGGGAGAAAGGCAGAGTGGTTTGTGTGGGGGTTGTCATGTGGGGAATGCTTTCTTTGTAAAGAATGCCAACATGGAACCCCCAGAAGTGAGTTGAAAAGAAACAATACCCTAACATGGACTCACTCTACAAGTTTCTTCCGAAGAGGTGCCCACCCAAGAGGATGAACTCATCCCAGACTTCATTGTGAGGAAATGAACTACTCACTGTCGATGTCTTCGATGAGGCTGGCGGTGCCAGGCATATAGTTCATTTTGAGCTGAGGTAATATTGCAATATGTAGCGGCAACAGGCCAGCGTGCCCAACACCTCTTTTTTGCTACGGCAGTTGCCGCCTTGGCGGCACCGGGACAAAAACCCGTCCCGGGACCAGACACAACCCCCGGCTTTTAGCCGTCAGGGCCTGCCGGAAGTACCTCCATATTACCCCGCCTACTTCCAACCTCACGTGGCCGTCTTCCGGAAGAGGCGGGACCATTGCGTGGTCCCTGTACATTCTTTCCCGTTCCTGATGAATAAGTGGAGAGGCTTCTAGGTTGAGTGAAAAGTGGGAAAATGTGTTTTCCTCTCTAAGGGACACAGTGATCCCTTTCGCCACTCTGCTTCCAAAACACCAGAGTCACAGACCTCCGTCCCTCAACTCAGACTTGGCAAGGAGGGGCGGGACAGGGCCTGGGATTGGCTTTTGTTGCCCTACCCCCTTCACTACTGTCCATTCACCCTCGCTGACAGGCGCCTGCGCGAGGAGTCCGCTGTGGGGGGCGGGAAGCACTGGGGACCAGTCGGCACTCCATGTCGGCACTCAGGCGCTCGGGCTACGGCCCCAGTGAGGGTCCGCCTTATGGCCGCTACTACGGGCCTGGGGGTGGAGATGTGCCAGTACACCCACCGCCGCCCTTATATCCTCCTCGTTCTGAACCTCCGCAGCCTCCCATTTCCTGGCGGGTGCGCGGGGGCGGCCCGGCTGAGACCACCTGGCAGGTAGAAGGCGGAGGAGGCGATAGCTACTATCCTTCTGGGGGTGCCTGGCCGGAGCCACCTCGAACTGGAGGAAGCCACCAGGTAAACTTTGCATCCTCTGTCCCCTGTCATCCAGTAGGAAGGTCTTTGGAGGTGAGGGCCATTGGTGTTGCTCTATCTCTGGGGTGCGTAATGGATCGGTTTTCTATTTGTTTTCCATTTTAAGGATTGGAGCGTCTGTGGCCGAGGTTATTTATTGGTGGGGAAGGGGTGATATCTTTGTCTTCTGGTTTTCTCTTCTTTTCTGCTTCATCATAATAAATGTGTGTTATCATTAAAAAGGAGAAAGGATCCTGCAGTGCTTGCTAAGCTGAAGGGGTCTGTCACTTGAAATCTCATTGGGCTGGAGTGCCAGGCTCTGCTCTGACAATTTATCCTGCGTTGCTGTCAGGCCAGAGCTTCTCTGGAAGGGAGGTGGATGCAGCCCCCGCTGTCACTCAGCAGCCTCTCCCATGAGGAGGGAACATGAAAAAGGAGGAGGGAGCTGGCCATTTAGCCCTTTGCCCTCATATTTTAATCAGGATTGAATCACGAATAATCAGTATTGTAAAGTACCTCTGTGTGGATTGTTTTTATTTTATTTTCATGGAAACTGTGAGATAAATTTTTAAGGCATCCCTGAGAGTTTAATAAACAGTGTACATTGCTTACGGGTAATGTACACGGTTCCTGCTGGAAACATTTCTGTTTTGTTAATATAGTGTTCTTAGTAGATTTATGATTGTTGACTTCTCTTTTCTTTCAAGCAATTATTCCATCCTTAGCTGATGAAAATAAAATAGTGAAATCCTCATGTATTACTGGTGGGAATGCAAAATGGTGCAGTCTCTTTGGAAAACAGTTTAGCAAATTCTGAAGTGAAATAAAAGTGATATATTACCTAGCAATCATTCCTAGAATTCTCAAAATAAATTAAAACATATGTATGCAAAAATATTCATAGTGGCCAAAAGGTGTAAATAATCTAAATGTTTGCCAAATGATGAATGGATAGACTAAATGTTATATTCCTACAGTAGGATATTATTCAGCAATAAAAAAGATTGATAATTTGTGTTACAACATGCATGATCCTTAAAAACACTGCAAATTAACAGAGCCAATTACAGATCTATATTGTTATGATTTTGTTTCAGTGAAATGCCCAAAGTGGCAAATCTGGAGAGATTAGTGATTGTCAAATCTAAAGAGAGTTGTATGAAAAATAGCAGCTAATGGGTATTGGGTTTCTTTTATAGGAAAGACTAATGAAAGTATATAGTGATAATGGTTACACAACTCTAACTAAAACCCACTAAATTACGGATGTTAAAAGATAGATTTTATTTTTTGAAATATATTCATTGTTGCACATTTCTTCCCTTCCAAACCCCTTGCCTAGCCTACCCCACAATGCACCCCTTTGTTCTGGATTATTCTCATACATACAGTGCTTAATCATAAATTCCTTTCAAACAGTTCTTGCCCTCATCTGTTCTAATGCATTGTTCATTATCTGTCCACTCTTCCCAATCCCTCTCTGACCCCTCCATGTCTGTCCTGTTTTATAACAGTGGCGTTATGCAGTATTTATCCTTTTGTGACTGAGATATTTCATTTAGCATGATGTCTTCAAGGCTCTACCATGTTGTGTAATGTTTTACTATTTCATTGTTTTTCAGTGCTGCATAGTATTATGTTGTGTTGATGTGCCTTTTATAGTTTTTCTATCCATTCATGTATTGATGGGCCCTTGGTTTGCTTCCACCTCTTTGCTATTGTGAATAATGTAAACATGGATGTGCATACATCTGTTTGAATTGTGGCTCTTGTTTTTTTAGGGTATATTCCCAGCAATGGAATTGGTCACTGGGTCACCTGGTGTATTTCTATTTCCAACTTTCTGAGAAAGCGCCAGGTCACCTTCCATAGTGGTTGTACCATTTTACATTCCCACCACCAGTAAATACGAGTTCCAGTCTTTCCACAACCTCACCTATATTTGTTGCTTGGTGCCCTGTTGAACTTTGCTGTTATTGCTGGGGTGAAATGATATCTCCTAGTTGTTTTCATTTACACCTCTCTGGTAGCTAGGGATTTTGAACATTTCATTTCCTTGTTTGCCATCTGAATGTCCCCTTTGGTCAAGTGCCTGTTCATATCCTTATCATGTCATGGCCAAATATTTTTTCCTTGTCTGGATTTCATTTTTACCCTGTTGGAGAAGTTTTTTGATGTGCATAGGGATTTGATTCTTAGACGGTCCCATTCACCTATTTTATTCTCTCCTGGTTGTGAATAAAGATAGATTTTATAATGAATGAATTATATACCTATTAAAAAACTGAATGAGAAAATACATGTGGTGAGAGATTGATTTCAACGAAAATCTGTATATTTCCTTGGCCTAAATCTGAGTAAGTAGGCTGTGGTACTTTAATCTCCTTTGTAGAGTAGAGTGATGAATGTTGGACTAAAATACCAACCAAAGATCATTTGAAGGTAGAAAGGAGGTTATCACTTCTTGTTGGCCTTGCTTTGTTAGGCGAAGTGTATGGCTGGGAAAAGGTGGTTAAGTCTAGGAAAGTTAAAATTTTAGCCTGGTGTAAGAAGTTAGGCATGATTAAACTATCTGCATAGAGGTTAGGAGATCGTGCTAGAGTAGTTGGAAATAGAACTGGAAGTGTTTCATGAACAGAAGCCATTTAGAAAGTTTGGACATTATCTTTCAGGTTGACGATTCTAAAATTTTCAAAGTATAAGGGGCTAACTTGTTCTAAACCAACAGGATAGAAAAGATACAGATGTTGTCACAAATATTACAAATATGCCCCCCAATTATTTGTTTTAAATTTATTGTTAGACTTTTTTGGTGTGTGTGATAACTTTTATTATTAATTTTTTTTTCACTTTTGGCATAATTTTAATGAAAATTTACAGAGACTTTAGATTTCCATTCATTCATTGTTGCACTTTTCTCCCCTTCCAGCCCTCCCCCCCCAGTACACTCTTCTCTTTGAAAAGTAAAAGTTCCCCCATTGTTTTACAGTCCCTCCTCCCAGATCCACTACACTATGCAGCCTTCATTCTGGACTCCTGTCATGACAATAATACCTATTCACATATCCCATTTAAACAGTTTTCTCCCTCATCTGTTTCAGTGCAGTATACATTATTTATCCCATCTTTCTCAGTCTCCCCCCATCCCCGAGATCAGTCCTGTTTTACAACAGTGGCACTATGCAGTATGTGTCCCTTTGTGACTGAGCTATTTCATTCAGCATAATGTCCTCCAGGGTCGCCCATTTTGAATAATATTGCATGAGTTCCTTGCTTTTCAATGCAGTGTAGTATTTATTCCATTGTGTGAACATACCACAGCTTCTCTATCCATTCGTTTGTTGATGGGCACTTAGGTTGTTTTCAACTCCTTGCTTTTGTAAACAAAGCTGTGATAAACATGGGTGTGCATATACCTGCTTGGGTGGCAGTTATGGTTTCTTTGGGGTATATTCTCAGTAGTGGAATTGCTGGGTCAAATGGTATCTCTGTTTGCAACTTTTTGAGAAAGTGCCATACCATTTTACACTTCCACCAACAGTGAATAAGGGTTCCAGTTTCTCCACAACCTCGCCAGCATTTGTTGCTTGCTGTTCTGTTAAATTTTGCTATTCTGACTGGGGTGAGATGATTTCTCATAGTTGTTTTGATTGAATCAGAATCTTATTGTGATAAATTCTCAAAATGACTTAAGCATATTAATACTTGAGAAGTACTGCTGTATAGAATTTAATGTATTTAAATAATGTTGCTCTGAACCAAAACAAAGACTTGATTCTGTTGACATATTCAAATATGGCAGGCGGAAAAAATTCCATGTTTAATTTTCACCTGTTTATCCCTTTTAAACAATAAATCTTCCCCTTCCCTTTCCTGATTAACTATATTTATAATAATGTAACTTTATCCCTAAATTGTAGTATTGGCAAACAGCTGACTTTCCCCTGGTCTACCAAACTACCACCACCTTTCTTATTGTCCTGACATTGGAACTGACTCATAGCTGACCCTCCAGGAGGTTTTCAAGTTGCCTGAGAGGAGATTACCCATCTTTATCCTATGGAGCTGCTGGTGAATTTGAACTGATAGAGATGGTTGACCTTTGGCCTAGGAGTCCAACTTCCTCTGGACTATGCCTCCCAGACATCTAACTTGGGAAAAAGAACAGTTACAGTGTGCTTTAGAAACAAAGACTATGAGACTTTGTGTCACATGCTTTTGGGCATGTTGAGAGGAGGAGCCAGTCTCTGTAGAAGGACATCAAGCTTGGAAAGGTGGAAGATGGGCAAAAGAGCAAAAGATCCTCAACAAACTGGATTGACACAGTGATTGCGGAGGAGCCCAACAGACATTGTGTAGGTTTTGTTAATATTTTGTCAAGATTGTGTAGGTTTTATGTAGATTGTCAAGGTTTTGATTTTTATGTTTTGTACATAAGATCTTTAGTCTGTTTGTCTCCACGGTCAACACTCTTGGCACCAGTAGCCAGGAAATCAAAAAACGTATTGCCATGGGAAAGTCTGCTGTTAGGGACCTCTACAGGGTACTGAAGAGCAATGCTGTCACTCTGGAGACTAAGGTGCGTCTGATACAGGCTATTGTCTTTGTAATCACTTGTTATGCATCAGAGAGTTGGGTAATGACTAGGGAGGATAGAAGGAGAATTGATGCCTTTGAGCTGTGGTGCTGGAAAAGAGTATTGAATGTACTATGGACTGCCAAGAAAACAAACAGATTCAACCTGGAGAGGGTTAAACCAGGCTGCTCCTTGGAGGCAAGGATTCTGGGGCTTTGTCTGACCTACTTTGGACATGTTGTAAGGAGAGACCAGTCCTTGGAGAGGGACATCATGCTTGGGAGTGTGGAGGGACGGCGCAGGAGGGGAAGGCCCTCTGTGAGGTGGATTGATTGTGACTGGGGTAATCGGGATGGGAGTGTGAGAGACAGTGCGATTGGCACACGATAGAGCAGGGTTTAGGGCTGTAGTACATAGGGTCACTGAG